AGAAATTTAAACTAGAACAGAAATAAACTATTTTTTAGTTTGGACTTTTTAGAGAGAGTGGCTCCCTGTGGAATTATGCTACTGCTGTCTGCAAACATGAACATTGACCTGTAGGTCATGGACAAGCTTACTGGAGGACTCCTTCTGAAACAGCTTTTCCATCTGGTGGAAAGCAGAACTACTTTGACATATGTTTTAAATATTCCTTTCCTGTCTTCAGATGGCCGATTTCAGGCTTACTTTTGAAATGGCTCATTCTGAATGCCATCTATTTGCCAATGATTCTCTTCCTTACTTTGAATATTATTTTTTAAGTACCTACTTTAAGTGTCAAAACATGATTCAGAATGAAGAATCCTCTGATTTTTTTATAATTTTGAGAGAGAAAGAACTTCTGCTTGATCCAAATCTATTACTGCTGGTAGTCAAGCACTACTTGCCCAATAAAATGAGAAAATAAAAGGAAACTTCTTTTAAAGAAGAGGAAGAAAAGTCACTGGTTTTTGTCAGATCTCTTTTCCATGACTGATGATAGTACCTAATTTGAAAAATAATTCAAATCTAGTTTTAGTTCAAAATCTTCTCCTCCTTTACAAGGCTATTGATTTTTTTATGTTGCTGTTGATAGGTAGCACTGAGTTTTTCCTTGTGTTAGCACCTGTACAACAGAACAGAAAACTTCCTGTCATGACTACCAGACTATAAAGTCGCTTCCTCTGAGCGGCTGTTACAGCCACTGTGTCAATCTGCCTCACTGAGGATGTTCGTTGTTTTCACTGACCCACTTCATTGGTCCTAAAATGAAAACATAGCACTGAAACAACCAACTAAAAGGATCAATTTCTGTTGTTTCAGATGGTAGCTGTTTGTTAAGAAAAAAATTAATTTCTTCATCTTTGTATTTGTGCTTTGTACATGAATTTTACTGATAAATATATTAACTAAAAAACAATGCAATACAAAAGCATTTAAGATAATTAGTCTTAATGTTGTTGTTGTTGTTGTTATTGTTATGTGCCCTCGAGTCAACTATGACTCATAGCAACCCAATGAACAGCAGTTCTAAACCTTGCCCTATCTTGAGCCAACCTATCTCTGACACATTTGATTCTATTACTACAGTCATTGTGTTAATCTATCTTGTTGAGAGTCTTCCTCTCTTGTACTGATACTCCATCTTTCCAACCATGATATCCTTCTTCAAGGACTGGCTTTACCTGGTAACATGTCCAAAGTGTATGAGATGGAGTTTCAAAACCCTTGCCTCCAAAGAGCATCCTGGTTTCACTTTCCCCATTACAGGCCTATTTGTTCTCTTGGAGATTCATGGATATTCAATATTCTTCTCCAGAACCATAACTCAAAGGTATTGATTCATTTTCTGACATCCTTAGTCATTGTCCAGCTCTCAGAAGCATAGCAAACAATTGACAAGACCATGGCTTAGAACAGGTGCACCTTAGTCTTTAGACTGGCATCATTGCTCGTTAGCATTCTGGAGAGTTCTGAACTAAGTAACACATGTATCCTACTTGTCTAAGTAAACTTCTGAACTTCCTAACTTGTCTTACCCAGTGTTTGCATTCTTGGACATTGACTAGATACTTTAGTAATTGATGTCCTATAAAATGTGGAATGATTCATATTGTCAATAGTTAATTTCTTATTGAGTTATTTTCTTTATTCTTCAGTACTAAAATGAATGAAAATAATCTTTTGAACCTTTGTTTTCTAATATTTTCACATAAAATAAAGCTTACAAAGCACAAGTTCACCATTTCATAGGGATAATTGTATTTTTCAAATACACTGAACTATTCATCTAAACTTCTATTGTCTATGTAAACCCATATCCCTCCTGTGAGAGGGGAAACATTCCTCTGTTCATGGCTTGTTACTGCTGCAGAAGCAGTTTTGTGTTTCCGTGGAAGTTTCCAGAAGGGCAGTCATGCCTGGTGTCTAGGCGCATAGATTACGTGCAGAGCATGGGCCTGTGGACAGACCACACTTTCCACAGGCAGGAGATCTTTTACTTACCCTGCATGTGGGAAGCTGGCCCCTGATACTGGAGAATTAGGTTATCTCTATTTTTCAGATGCGTGTGCTTGTCATGGTTTTAGTATATTTAAGTTAAGGACTGAGGCCTATATTAGAATTCCTGTCTGGATTCCTCTGGGGAGAGCAGTGTTTGATGTGTGCCTGCTTCGTTTATGTGACCCTGTTTATGTGCATTCCAGTGATCATTAACAAAGGCCATTTGGTGGAAACCTGTGATGAAAGTGGATTTAGAAATGGCTGGATCAGCTGCAATTTTGGCAAGGCTGCAATCCCTCTACATTGAGTGAATACTCCTGCATCATCAATTTGTGTTCAGCCAGCCTTCTTTGGAGAGAAGAGGCAGTTTAGTCAATCATGCACAATGAGGGCAACAGAGATATGGATTTCCTTTGCACAGAGGTTTAAAATTCTGTATGTTAGCAGAGATTTCCCATCTTATCTACAAGGCCTACTCATCAAAGCAAGTTTTGGGAATTAGGACTTAAGCAAACAAGTTGTGTTTAGATTCTACATAACATTGCATTTTATCAATGCCTAGGATCTGTCCTTTTCTGGTTTTCTGCTCCCCAACCTGGAGATTTTGGGGATGACTGGAAGAGATCGTAAGAACAGCGATTAGCTTTGTACCTACAGACAGGAACTAAAGAATCCCTCACAGAGCAATCTTTCTGAGGTTTACCCTCTGGTTGTGGTATCATATGACTAAGCTCATCATAAAAGCTGACAAGGGCTTAATGAACGTACTACAAAAGGGGGCTGAAATAAATTGCTGCTGGTTGATGAAAGAGAAAGAGGTTGGGGCAACCAGCTTTGCCTCAGTAGTGTGTGCAAGCCTCAGATTTCACTCTTCTGTTACCTTTCAATCTTTGGAGGTAGATACCTAAGTAAATAGCTAAGAGTAAAAGAGGGTTCAAAGTCCTATAATAGACAGTACTTGTGAGAAACGGGAAGGATCTATTTAATCTTCCCATGCTTCAATTTCTTCATTTGTAAATAGAATACTTTGTAAACATAGTGAAAATCTTAAAATCAGAGGAGTTAATCATTTTGACAAATTTGCCACTCGCCACAATCTGAGTTAAAGGAAATTTGGGACAAATAACAATTCCCTTTGGGGGAAAAGTATTAAAAGGCATGATTTATTGCTTGCAACCTCAACCTCAGCTACTAGTCTTAAGTTTATCATCAAAAAGTAGAGATGCTTGCTAAGACTGAACTACTAAAACCAGGGACGGGATATTTGAATAATGACTGTTTTCAGGAGGACAAGGTGAAGAGCTGATTTGGACTTAGGGAGGTAATGTATGATGATCGCTCATTGCCCTGGAGTTAGAATTGACTTCCAGCTAACCCTTCACTGGGTTTCTGAGAATGTAAATTGCCCATCTTTCTCCTGAGGAGCCACTGGTGGATTTGAACTGCCAGAGAGGCATCAGCTTTGGGTTAAAACAACTCCTGAGGATTAAGCCACTAGATAATAGTTCAAATAGATAAAAGGTAAAAATTAGCATGAATCCAGTCCCAAAATGGGGTGATGGATTTATTTCTTCCCTTGCTACATCTTTATCCTTGTCACTAGCTATCCCCAAGGCATTCTCTGTCTGATGCTGACCATGTGGAGCTAGATCAGAGATCAAGGGTTAAAAGGACAGCATGCTTCAGAGTGTCAAATAAGCAGATACTTATTTGGAGAATCCACCTGACACCTCAATTTTCTGACCATGCTTTGGGGCTATTTTCCCCCTCCTACTTCACGATGCCATCTGCAAGCTCAGGAGTCCACACAATACCCTCACATTATGAATGCTTTCCATTCTCTTTGTAGATTCCATGGAATGATTCGCAGAACTCCCAGAGAATATGTCACATTTACAACTACAAATTTCTTTTAGCCAAGAAATACAAACGACATTTTCATGTATTAGCCTCCACATCCCAAGAGAGGCACTATCTTCCTAAGAGTAAATGTCTTCCCCAATCAAGGAATGCTCTGAGCCTCCTATATCCAGTATATCCAGGGCTTTTAAAAGCTACTCTTTCATGATAGGTTGAGTCATGCCCACTCCCATCCCAGGCTAGCTGATACCAGACTTCCAGGTGAATTTTTCCTGGTCTGGCCAGCTTCTGCTCTTTAGCACAAATCCTCAGGAATGGCCTAGACTTCTCAGACTACGGCATCTCAATTATTCCACAAGTTATTTCTCAGGAAACAAGGATAATGGCCACTTATCTAAGGGTAAACTAGGTCCTTTATCCCATAGTGCAGTCGAAACATCTTTTGTGTAGAATTTATGAAAAACTTTGTAAGGAAGGATCTTTTAACAGGATTGACATAAAACACAACTATTGTCTTAAGAACAAATGGTTTTCCCATCATGGGAAATGTTCCAAGAGGGGCTGAATTGTTGAAGAAATTATTCCATCCTGGTACTGGATGTTGAACTTGATAGTGGACAATGTATTGTCCAAATACAAGATAATCTCATTTCCTCCTACTGTTAATGGTTGCCTAAATTTCCTTTTTACTACTTTTGACATAAAAATGCAAAACATATTTTTATGACTTCCTCTGTACACTGACTTTTTAAAAAAAATCTTCAATCAGTTATGTTATCTCCTGATATCTGTATAAGTGTCTCATACTATTATTACTGTTAAATAATGCTGTTTTGTCATTCTGAATCCAGACAGAGAGAGGCATTGGGATACATTCCTCTATATTAAAACTCTTAATAAAAATGTGGTTTTATTTGTGGATACTTTTAGAGATTCATTCTGAAAATAAATGTCACTAGGAAGATATCCACCTGACATTATTTCTGGTCCAATTGCACCATTAATTGTAAACATTAATCATTAAGAAACGTTGACTGTAACATTCGTTCAACAGGAGCTTTGGCCCATGAACAATTGATTGACAGTTTACAGTGTCTTTGTTGCAGGTCTTTCAGATTGCATATGTCATCATCAAAGCTGCGAATGCCCCCAGACCAGGGAACTGGATTTTGGAGCGCTCTCTGGATGGTGTCACATTCACCCCCTGGCAATATTACGCAGTCAGCGACTTGGAATGTTTGACTCGTTACAATATAACTCCGAGACGGGGCCCTCCCACATACAGGGCAGATGATGAGGTGATCTGCACCTCCTATTACTCCAGGCTGGTTCCCCTGGAGCATGGAGAGGTAGGTGCCCACTGGGCTGAGGGAGTTTCTCTCCTCCAAATATTAGCATTGCTGTTGCTAACCACTGAAGACAGAAGGATCAAAGATCTGCCCTAAACTTAACCTATTCAAAGCATCAATGAATGGCACTTACAGATGAGTGATAGCAATCAATACAGATTTTCTGATTGAGTTATTCCCTTCCAGAAAGCTTCTGTAAGGAGCTCCCTGAAGTTCTCTGTCTCTTGTTGAAATACTAAAGAAGGAGTGAGCATGCCTGTGAAAACAGTGCTCCCAATTTTCTTTGTGAAGTCCTTTGTGGTGGACATTGAGATTGTGTGATAGCACATGAAGTATTACAGCTCAGTGCTGGGTGCACTAGATCGTACACAAACCATTAAGTTCAGAGTGTAACTACAACATTCCAGCCTTTAGTATAGCACATGGCTTGAGGAGGTAAAATGGCAAAACTTCTCCAAAGTGCTCCTCACAGCTGAAAATAAAAAAGTGAGCCCAGGTACTATTCCAAGAGCAGAGACTAAAAGCAAGCAAATAAAGCTTTTGGGTATTTCCTCCACTATCCCTGGACTGCTCTTGGTATTTAGAATTTGACTCCAAGAAGTTATAGCATCATCATCATCATCATCATTGTTGTCGTCGTTGTCGTAGTAGTAGTAATAGTTAAGATATTCTCATTTCTCTTCCACAATTTCCAAGGTACAGGTATAAGTACCTCCAATAAATTGAAGATACATTGTGATCAGATTGTTCACAATTCATTGATGAATATTCATCATTTCTCTAGGAACATAGTTCTTTTTTTATTTTATCTTCTTAAAGATCATTTCCTAAAGTTCAACAACCAGGCCTGTATATTCCAATCTTGGAAGCAGAGTGGCATTCACTTCCTAACCAACATGCCTCTGGAAACTATGAACTTTGAAGAACAACAATAGTTATAGCAAGACTTCGGGTCTTTTGTTCATAGGGTCGCTATGAGTTGTGCTCAACTCAACAACAACAACAACAACAATAAAATGTATATATTTTAATGTGTTTTTTTTCTCAGATTCACACATCTCTAATCAACGGCCGACCCAGTGCTGATGATCTTTCACCCAGGCTGCTGGAATTCACTTCTGCCCGCTATGTCCGCCTTCGCTTACAGCGCATCCGGACCCTGAATGCAGATCTCATGATCCTCAGCCACCGGGAGCCCAAAGAGCTCGACCCCATTGTCACACGACGAGTAAGTAACACGGCGGCTCTCCTGACAGCTATAGAAGCATGTTTTGTTTAAGGAGAGTGTACTTTTCATTTTAGTTGGCTTTCTCCCTCCTATTATTTCAGTGAAGATATCAGATGTGTTTTACTAGCAACATCAGCCAAACATGATGTTGTTGATATAATATCCCCCGGCCCTCTCTCTTCTACATCGTTTCTAAAATATGTGACACAGAGAATGTGGTGGCCCTTATTCTACTCTGTCTTCACAGATTTCAGTAAATGGAAAGTTAAGGCTTTTCACATAAAACAAAATGTAATTATTTGATATACTCAGGAAACTGTATAGCTTTTTAGTGTATAATAGCTTATATTCAGGAGTAACATCCATTTTTAGTGTACAACTGAGTATATAATCCTTGTATACACATTTTCTTATTTCTTGTATAACATACACATGGAAGTTTGTATTTTAGAGTAGCTGTGTGTTTAATTATTTAAGAAGCTGGTAAATTTTTTACAAAAGTAGCTGTACCATTGGACAGTCATATTAGTAATATTGAGGTTTCTGGTTCTACTCCTTGTTTTCAAAGATTTGATATGGCCAGTTATTTTCAATTTAGTATTTTTTTTCTTTATTGTTGCACATTTTCTCCCCCCTCCTCAGCACACCTGCAATGCACACCTTGTTTCAGATTTTTCTTGTACAGATAATTCCTAATTATATATTCCTTTGGGGCAGTTCTCCGCATCTGTTCTAATGCAGTGTTCATTTTTTCCATTCCCTTCCCAACCCCTGCCCACCCCATGTCTGTCTTATTTTATAAGAGCGCTGTTAATTTAGTTTGCCCTTTTCTGACAGATATTTCATTCAGCATAATGTCCTCCAGGCTTCCCCATATTGTGTAATGTTTGCAAGTTCCTTGTTTTTCAATGCTGCATAATATTCCAATTTGTGAATATACTATAGATTTCGATTCATTCATTTGTTGATGGGTTACTTCCATCTCTTTGTTATTGTCAATATACATGGGTGTGTCTACATCTGTTTGAGTTGTTGCTCTAGTTTCTTTGGGTATTTTCCCAGTAGTGAAATTGCTGGGTCCATGGTATTTTTATTTACAACTTTTTGAGAAAATGCCAGGTAACTTTCCATAATGGCTGTACCGTTTTATACTCCCACTAGTAGTGATTAAGAGTTCTAATCTCCCCACAACCTCACAAGAATTTGTTGTTTGCTGCCCTATTGAACTTTGTTATTGTTTCTGAGCAATTTAGCTATTTTAAATGTGGATAGGAAAGCACCTTACAATATTAATTTCCCTAATGACTGAAGTTGAGAATCTGTTTTTGGTGTTGTTGTTGTTACGTGCCATCGAGTCATTTGCTACTCATAGTGACCTATGTACAATAGCCCTAAACTCTGCTCTGTCCTGTACCAGTTGCACCATCTCTGATACACCCATCCCAATTGTGGCAGTCACTCATAGAGGACCTTCCCCTCCTGCACTGTCCCTCCACCCTACCAAGCATGATGTCCCTCTCCAACGACCTCTCCCTCCTTACAACATGTCCAAAGTATGTTAGATGGAGCCTCAGAATCCTTGCCTCCAAGGAGCAGCCCGGTTTGACCCTTTGCAGGATGAATCTGTGTGTTTTCCTAGCAGTCCATGGTACTCTCAATACTCTTCTCCAACACCAAAGCAAATACATTTTTAAGAGACATAAACACAGGTTATATACATGGATTTCACCTGATGATATGCATAGGAATCAGACTGATTACATCTGTGGAAAGAACCTCTGGAGAAGCTCAATATCAGCTGTGAAAACTAGGCCAGGAGCTGATTGTGGAACAGACCATCAACTACCCATATGCAAGTTCAAGCTGAAGCTGAGGAAAATTAAACCAAGTCCACGGGAACCAAAATATAGCTTTGAGTCTATCCTCTAGAATTTCAGAACCATCTCAGGAACAGGTTTGAGGCCTTGAACACTAATGAGCGAAGACCAGAGGAGTTGTGGGAGGACATCAAGGGTATCATCCAGGAAGAGTGCAAATGGTCATTGAAAAGACAGAAGAGGAAGAGAAGACCTAAATGTATGTCAGAAGAGACTCTGAAAATTGCACTGGAGCACAGAGAAGCCAAAGCACAAGGAAGAACTCAAGATACCAAAGAGTTGAATAGAAGATTTTAAAAGGCAGCACGGGATGACAAAGTAAAATATTACAATGAAATGTGCAAGGAGTTGGAGTCAGAAAATAAAAAGGGCTGAACTCACTCAGCATTTCTTAAGCTCAAGGAACTGAAGAACAAATTCAAACCTTGAGTTCCTATAATCAAGGATGCTTTAGGCAGAATATTAAATGATCCAGGAAGTATTAGAAGAAGATGGAAAGAATATACTGAGTCACTGTATCGAAAGGAATTGGCATACACAGAAGAATTTCATGAAAGAACATATGAGCAAGAGCCTATGGTGATGAAGGAAGAAGTTCAAGCTGCTTTGAAGGAAATAGCAAAAATAATAAGGCCCCACGAATAGATGGTATACCAATTGACATATTTCAGCTAACAGATGCTGCCCTAGATGTGCTCACCAAGTTGTGCCATGAATTCTGGAGAACAACCACTTGTCCAACTGACTGGAAGAGATCTATATTTGGTCCCATCCCAAAGAAGGGTGACCCAATAGAGTATGGAAACTATAGAACAATCTCATTAATTTCACATGCAAGCAAGATTCTACTGAAGATTATCCAAAAACGACTGGAACAACACATCAGCAGAGAACTTCCAGAGGTCCAGGCTAGGTTTAGAAGGGGTTGTGGTACCAGGGCTATTGTAGCTGATGTTAGATGGATCTTAGCTGAAAGCAGCAAATACCAATACCAGAGGAATGTCTATCTGTGTTTCATTGACTATGCAAAGGCGTTTGACTGTGTGGATCATAACAAACTGTGGCTGAGAAGAATGGGAATCCCAGAACACTTGATTGTGCTAATGAGAAACCTATACTTGGACCAAGAGGCAGTCGTCAGAACAGGCAAGGAAACACTGCATGGTTCAAAACTGGGAAGGGCGTGTGCCAGTGATGTGTCCTGCTTCCATACCTTTTCAACATGTATGCAGAACAGATTATCAGAAGGCTGGGCTCTATGAGGAGGAATGTGGGGTTAAGATTGGTGGAAGATCTATCAACAATCTGAGATATGCAGATGACACAACTCTGCTTGTGGAAAATGAGGAGGACCTGAAGTCCTTGCTGCAGAGGGTCAAGGACTTCACCCTCCAATATGGATTGAGGCTCAGTATCAAGAAGACAAAGATTCTCACCACTAGGCCACTTGGCAGCATCAGGATGGATGGTGAAGAGATTGAGATTGTTCACATCTTTAGTTTGCTTGGCTCCACAGTCAACACTTTCGACACCAGTAACCAGAAAACTAAAAGACGTATTGTGATGGGAAAGTCTGCTGTTAGGGACCTCTCCAAAGTACTAAAGAGCAATGGTGTCTCTCTGGAGACTAAGGTGTATTTCATACAGGCCATGGTCTTTGCTATCACTTGTTATGCATCAGAGAGTTGGACAATGACTAAGGAGGATAGAAGGAGAATTGATGC